CTTCTCCCTGAATCGTCTCCCCACAGCAGGTAGATTATAAAACACTTCTCAAGACAGAGATTTAGTCCCCAGGAGTCTTCTGTTAAACAGAGGAATGGCACAGCCCCTGAGGAAGATGAACAGCAGGAGGAGAGAGAAGTTTATTCTCCCAAGTCTTTGATGTAAGAAAAATCAGTTTGAGCTGATTTGAAAATCGTTCTGACTTATGCCATAACATTTTCCTTTCAATGTGAGACTTTTCTGTCTTTCATGCATCGTCCTGTGCTTACCTGCTTTCATGCCGGGTTCCTTTTTTGAAGCTGAGAGGAGTTTGAAATAGAAAATCAAGTTGACTCAAAGCCTGTGGGATTAGCTGCCGTGAAACCTTGAAAATTCGACAAGAAAGGTCTAGAATGGCAAAGGCCCCAGATATGTGTCCTGAGAGCTGATTTTCCTGGTTGACTTTCACATGCCCATGATCCAGCAAAGGGCACGGATGCATCTCACCAGATTCCAGCCTAAAGAGGAAATCAGGCAGGACTGGGATCCCAGGTCCAGCCCTGAGCCTGGACTGCAGATCAGAGGCAGCATCTGCCCTGGTCACCCACAGCCTGGCTTGTGCTTTCCAGCCTCCAAAGAAGGGAATCATGGTACCTATGTCCAGTGGTGACAGACACATAATAGATGTCTGGGAAATGGAAGCCAAGGTGTTGTGATTTTCTCAAGCAAAACTTAGCTCAGATTAATTGCCTCCTGATGTTATGCCCTTTTAAAAATTGGAGTATTTTTTTTCTCTCCTCTGGTTCCTCAAGTCCAGKACAAAAGTCAAAATGGTCAGCTCTGTCTCAACCAGCAAACTTTCTGCAAAGAGTTAGAGCATAAACGTGTTTGGTTCTGTGAGCCCCCTGGTCTCTGTCCCAGCTGTTCAGTTCTGCCTGCCATTGGAACATGACAGCACCATATGTCATAAAAAACCAGGGCATATTGAATTCCCCTGAAGGGTTACGTACAAGCTCCGTTGGCTTGGCCTGCAAGCTCCGGTTTAGCAGCCAACCCCTCCTATCAACAATTGGAGGTTATTAGAACTATATTTCTTGAATCCCACATTTTGCCTCAGATGATAACAGTGAATGCATCATCATCAGTCACTCTTCTGAGACCTGTGTCTGTGACCTCATGTAACCCTTACCTTTAGCCCTGTGATGCACAGAGAGTTTAAGCACCTTGCCTAAGGTCACAGAGCTCATTAAATGGCAGAGCCCACACTAAAACYCAAGCCCTGCTGGCTCCCTCTGGGTCCCATGCCTCATGCTTTTGAAGCCAGGCCTTCTCCCAGCATCACTAGAATGATTCCTGGTGCCCCCAGCATTCTCGGTGCTTCCCGCTGCATCAATTTCCTATTGTTCTGTTCTGTAACAAATGGCCACAAACATGGTGGCTGGGAAAAACACCACATATTTATTATCTTCCAGTTCTAGAGTATAGGAGTCCAGAATGGGTCTCACTGGGCTAAACAGAAAGTGCCATGGGGGCTGGCTTCTCCTGGGGTCTCCAGGGGAGAAGCTGCCCCCTTCCACACGCCAGCTCAGAAGCTGCCCACATCCCTTGGCTTGTGGCCCCTTCCTCCATACTCAAAGCCACTGATGGCCTTTCCTATCCTCCCAACATCACAACCTTCTTGCCCTGACTCTTCTGCTTCCCTCTTACAGGRCCTCATGATAAATGGGCCACCTAGAAAATCCAKATAAACTRCCCATCTGTCAGCCAAACAGCAACCTTAATTCCACCTAAGCCTTAATCACCCTCCATAGAACCTAACACATTCACAGGTCCAGCAGTTAGGATATGGACACTTGGGGGCGTGATTCTGACCATTGCACACACATGCATTCGCTCCCCTGACCCACACAACAATCTACTGATGAGGTCCTATTGTGGTCATTGTACAGAGGGGGACAATGAGTCCAGAATACCATGATTATATCACCCAAAGTCAAACAGCTAATAGTGGAGATCCGGAGCTCTACAGGTGTCCAGCTCCACATGTGCYCTTAACTGCTGTTGAACCCCTTTGCTAGGAAATAGGAATGTTGGYCCTCTTGAAAGAATCAGTTGAATGAGAACAGATATGCCTCCCAGTAGCCATAGCCCCTGAYRTGCATGGGACAGCCCTGGTTTGTGTCTGTTGCTCCTCTTACACCCAGAAGTGTAGATGGTACAGGTTAGGGTCACCCACCATGGCTGACCACAGGCCAGGGCCTGTGTTCTTCATGACTGGGATTCTGAGTCTCAGGCAGGACTAGTCTGGGAGTAGAGGCACTGGGGACAGCTCTTGGTTATAAATTCCTCCTCTGTCTCCAGTGAACTGTCAATCAACAGTAACAGGTTCTTAGAAGCGACTGTTGTTGATGCATAGCTTCTGTGTGGGGAGAGAGGGTATCATGACCTTTCCAGGCTTCTCTGAATTCTTTCCACCGGGGTCAGGGGAGCCTTGGGAGCAGGAGAGAAGTGTGTACTTGGGACTCGTTGCCTGTCCAGGGTGGAGGGCAGAGTGCTGGTTAGTTCTTGTTCATTCCTCTTCTGTTTTCCCTTCTCTCTTTCTTTCTTCTCTGTTTTCCCAGACCGTTGAAAACTGTGTGTGCATCTTAAGGAACCTCTCCTACAGGCTGGCAGCAGAAATGTCTCAGGGACAGCACATGGGCACGGATGAGCTGGACGGGCTGCTCTGCGGCGAGGCCAACGGCAAGGACGCGGAGAGCTCTGGGTGCTGGGGCAAGAAAAAGAAGAAAAAGAAATCCCAGGACCAGGTGATGCTGGACACTCACAGCTGCATGCACTCATTCCCTCCCTCCTTGCAACGTGAATTCCTTTTCTGTATGTCCAGATACCRGTTTGYATTTCCACTGTGTGGTAAAATCACTGAAGCGCCCRCACAGTTTTCCTGTGGGAATTTCACAGCTGAGACGGTGAAAGTTAAATAACTCCCCCCGTGTCTTGCAGCTGAGCCAAGATGGGAAATTTCAAAATAAGAAAAAAAGCCAGCAAGGTGTGACAGCTCCTAGAGTGGAGGTGGACCCTGGGGCTGAGCCTTCTGTGTGTTGATTCCCACATGCACTGAGGTCCTCGTGGGGCCAGGCTGGCTGCCATCTGGGTGGCAGAGATGCCTGGAATAGACGTGCTGTGTGAAGGGAAGCACAGCATCCAATGAGTGCTTTATTGCACGTTTGGAGAAGGTTTGGTTTTGCAGTCTTGAATTTGCTAGTGCGAGTCAGAATTCAGAGCCCATCCAACAGAATGGCATCAGAAGCTTGGCTGTAGGGGACTATTCAAAGCCCTTTGCAGCTGGAGAGGGAGACCTCTTCAGATAGAATGCTTTTCACCTTGTGCAACTGTAAGTGGGTCCCCTGCAGTCAAGTCCAGTAGGCAGCTACCCCTCCTCATTCCAGGGCATCAGAACAGCCTCCACCACATCCCCAGGGCCTCTGGGAGGTGAAGCCCTTACCCCCAGCTGCCCTCACCCCAGGAAAGGGAATAGTGGGAAGGAGCTGTTCATTCTGCTGCTGGCCAAAACCTTGCCACTGAGGATTTCCCTATTTCTCCCCACACTGGGGTCTCACATCCATGTCCTTCCCTGGATGCTGAGGTCACAAGTCCAGATTGCCCTGGACACTGTGGTCACATATCCAGCTTCTGAGGGTTATACTAATCGGAACCTGACTGGCCTGGGAAATAGGTTGGAATTCACAATGCCCTCCATTGACAGTCTTTGAATTCGAGATAAATATGCAAAGGCATTTGTCTAGATCACAGTGCAGAATTTCTAAACTATTTGAGAAATAATTTTGCCTCCAGTAAAGGTAAGGCTAAAGAAGGTATTTTGAGTAAGAATCGATGAGAATGCATTCTTAAGTCTAATTCCTGAATTCTCCTTGAATGCATCAGGGTTAGCGTTTGTTTTAGGTTCCAGTTCTCTAGTGGTTTTCAGCTCTGGGTACTTCGGACCACTCCTGGATTTATGCATTCATCTTACACATGCCTGTACTTTGGGAGATCCATGCTCACCCTCYCTTTGACAGCACTGGTTCATTAGCCCTCTGAGAACTAAGCCCAGGCCCACTTTTTCCCCTGTCCTGAGTCAAGCTATATCTCTCATCCTCTCCCTGAAAGGAAGGAATCTGTGAGTAAGGACTGAGCCGTGATTCTTAACCTCTTCAACCTCCCTCCGGGGGTGCAGGGGCCCCTGGCAAGTGTTCACCAAGCCCTCCCAATGAGAGCACCTGGCTAGGTGCTGCTTTGCCCCTGGGTTTTGCTCCTATATAGACAGAAGCCAGACCATTGCAGTCCTGAACACTCCCTTCCCGTCAACTCTAATGTGAGCTAGCAATGGTGGGTTAGGTTCCCTTCACCATTGCCTTATGTGAAAATCCCCTCACCCCTACTTTCTCCTGGAAGTGTGAGCCACCTAGTAAACTTCACTGGAGGAAAGCAGCACAGCAGGAACGTGGAACTTCCTGAGTTAGCAGTGAGAACAAGCTCCAGTCTCACCCCAGATGGAAGGATTCATCTTGAAAGGTCCCCAGGAAGGCAAATTTGAGAGATTGCATTAGGTTCTAGTTCTCTAGTGGTTTGCAGTTCAGCTGAAAGTTTGAAAGTTGGCCAATGGCCTTGGCCAAAGAAACTTTCAGCTGATACTGAATTTACTGCCRTTCAGGATTTTGTCTGTGACATTTGAACTGTGGGTGGCAGCCCTGTCATGCCCCTGTGACTGACACCAGGGTTTCATTTAAGAATATTCTTATCCTAACACCCACCTTCTCCCAAGTCTGCCAACATGTTTTCCATGGATTTAAATCTTCCAAGTGTTGGAGGGGGTTAGGAGTTGTTTGGGCCCCAAGAAATGAGTAGTCACTGGGGAAGAACATTGGTGGCCTCACCCCCTAATGAGCCCCTCCTTCCCAGGTCTTGGCCCCACCATGAAACCTTGAGGTGAACAATTTTCCAGGCTTTAGAATGATGTACTGGGAAGAATTTCTTATGATATTGACGTGTTCTTCTCCACATTGATATGATGAAGTAATTAATAGAATTTGATTTTTGCCAAAAAACTTAAATGAAATTTTACAAGGTTCATTTGTCCCATTTTTTCTTACAACATTCTTTAAAGAAAAAATACTTCTTTTAAACAGTTTTGTTGAAACTGCCATAAGCTAAAATGCAGTGGAACACTGTTGTTTTTACGAAGAACATTGAAGTTATGATTTCAACCAAATATASGGGTTTTTTGAAAGGCTTTTTTTCATGTGCTATAAATTAATACAAAACTATTTTGAAGTGCTAGGAAATTCAATATCAAGCTTAATGAGGATGTAAACATAAAACAATTATGCCTGTTTGAATAAACATTTAGTGTGTTTTGTCAAGTTCAATACATTTTAAAACAGTCCAAACTAAAAACTGACTTGTATTTAAAGACTTATAGAAAGGAGGCAAAGCCAAAATCATGGAGATGAGGAGGGGAGTGAAGATGGATTATAAGTGTAAATGAAGGCGAAGAACAGGAGAGTACCAACAAATCTAGCAGACCACTGACAAGTGGCCAGGGCCTCTGGACTGGACTGGATGCCCAGTCCAATATATGGAGATATGGATATAATATATAGAGATATGGATAATATAGCTATAGATAAAATCTAGCCAAGTTTGTAAATATGTCATGTGCAAATATAAATATATGCATGTATAAAATATGTTTCTAGAAAAAGAACAATAATATCGAAGAGAGGATAAGAGATTCTTACTGTATTTACTTATTTACAGATTTCCTATGATGTACATTATATTATAATCTTTTCAAATAGCCATTTAAAATTAACACTCAAAAGGCAGTAGGTARCTAAGTCAATATGCTCATAAAAATGTTGTATTTTCCTTTTAAATTTAAGATACCTCAAAGAAAGGCAGAGAGACTATGTACCCATGACACAGATCTCCCAGCATAGAGTAGTCAAATATTGTAATAGAAATCAAAGTTATGAAATCAAAATTGGTTTAATTCTGACCCTGGARCTTGTTCGGTTCCAGACATTTGTGATGATTCTTACACTTGGCATTTGGTATTCTGAACTGTAGAAAAATAGTATACCATTCTGCAGGTCAGATTTAGTTATAAGAAAAATCTCAGAGATATTTTGTTTTAAATCCTTGGTAATGATAAGGCAAGAAAACAGATGGTACAGGTGTTTGGCTTTTGTGTCCGAATTAGAAGAAATGGTTGCTATGGAAATATTCTAGACCCAGACAGACACCTGTGTGCATCACATTCTGGTCTAAAAGACTTTCAAACAYGTTTACCTCTGACTCTGTGGCTGAATTTTAGGAAGTTCTAGTTTCTCTAGCCTTTTTAAAGCAAAACCTCCCCCAGAGCATGTTGCATGTCTTAGCCAAAGAGGCCACCTCGTGTGGCAGGACCCTCCCTTCCCTACAGAATGGCTTTGTGCAGGCAGTCTCTCCCCGCCCCGTTACTACTACTCCTCCTCTTCCTCCTCTTCCTCCTCCTCCTCTCCCCCTTCCCCCTCCTCCTCTTCCTCTTCTTCTTCTCCTTCTTCCTCCCCTTTCTCTTCCTCCTCTTCTTCTTTTTCTGTCTCCTTCATCTTCTCCCCCTTCTCCTTCTTCTCCCCCTTCTCCTCCTTCTTCTTCTCCACCTCCTCTTCTTCTTTCTCCTCCTCTTCATTCTCTCCTCCTCCTTCTTCCTCCTCCTCTTCTTTTTCTTCTCCTTCATCTGCTCTCTCCTTTTTCTTCTTCTTCCTCTTTCCCTCTCCCTCCCTCCCTCCCTCCCTCCCCCTCCTCCCATCTCCTTCTCCCTCTCTCTCTCTCTTCCCCCTCTCTCTTTCTTTCCCCTCCAATCTAGGATATGGTTAAGGATGTTGGGATGGTGTCTGGGGTACTATTCCAGCAGGGCTGAAAGGTAACTGGACACTGTCCTGCTGCTGCTGCCCGGAGCAGACCTGGGTCTTCAAGATTCACTCAGTATAATGCTGACTCTGACCAGAGAAACCTGCTGAGAAAGAACAAGCAAAACAAGCAGATCCCCTCAATCCCAAAACCGCTGTGTTCTCTTTGTCACTGAAAATCTTTTAATTCAAGTGAGTTAAAAAAAAAATCTATTCTCAGGGGTGAGGACATAAATTATCAGAATCCAAACATGATTCTGATCCAGTATTTTTATATGATAGATCTTCTCTCATGATAGCCTTTGCTTCACAGTACATTCTAGTCAAGGGAGAATATTTTGCTCTTTTTAAAAACTCTTTCTTAAATTATGGATGCCAAGTGCATAGGTTATGGGAAGTTTCACTTAGGAATCTTAGCATGATGGTTTATAAACAGAAGCAACAGGAATGGGTTTCTGTGTAAAACGGTTAGTGTCCTCCTCATTTCCCTATGAGGGAAGACATACTGATGGACCCTCCAAGGCCCTCCCATAACACTTTCGTATCCCTTCTGAGGCCCAAGCTCTCACTCCTACTGTTCCTCTGCCCGCCATTCCTCGCCCTTCTTCCACCACGTGGAGAATGATTCTTCATGACCCAACATCACCTTCCCCTTTCAAGACTGATCCAAAGAGAAAACTCCGCCCCTCCCTAATCTACCTCTACACCGTTCTGTGAAACTCCTCTCCTAGTCCATGTCATGCTGAGGTGGGTAGAGCAGGTGGCCCCCACAGAGAGGGAATGCCAGAGGGGAAGGATTGTGTGGGTCTTATTTCTGACTGTGACTTCTAGCCACCCAGCACCTGGCACCACATGTG